CGGACTGGGGAAACAAACTGAAACGCGGACTTAATACAGAGGACTAATGACAACAACCAGAAACAGATGATCACATGGGGATTCCACACAAGGTTAACGAGGGGGCATGGCACACGGAATGAGTGGACGATCGGAGCAGGACAGGGGTAATGTTGGGATAAGATCTTTATCGTTTTGGAAGCCATTAAGAAAAAAATGCTCGTCTTGTTTTATCTTGTTCATTCTGTGTTTAAATGCTAAAAAAAAAAAAAAAAAAAAACATTTAGGTGTAATTTTAGGCGGGCCGGGAACCAATTAATTGGTTTTCCATTATTTCTTATGGGAAAAATTCGATCAGAATTCGAACTTTTTAGGATTCGATCCGGAGTCCAGAACGGATTAAGTTCGAGAACCGAGGTACCATTGTACTTTGGAAGCTCATCATAAAAGGTATGTCAAATTTAAAATAAATATTCAACCTTTTGTTTACATGAGAAGTGCGAGCATGAGCACTATACTGCGATCATGTAATGGCTTAAACCAAGAGGTATAACTCAAAAATAATAACAGTACAGACATTTTTAAATGACACAAACTATTGAGACCGGTTTGGTCGAAATCAAATGCAAATGGACAGCTGTCATGCCAAATGCTGCCACTGCAGCAGAAAGGGAAAAAACGTATCGCTCTTGAGCTAAATGTACAATAACCTAATAAAACATCAGTTGTACTATCAAGCTAAATGCAAAGTATTTCTTAATGAAACAGCATATTTAAAAAAAACATCTGTAAACATATTTTATTCATGTGAACACTTACTGAAGTGGTAAGGGTTAACTTAACTTAAGGGATAACTAGAAACTGCATTATCATGATTGCGGCCTAACAGCTAAGCAATATGTCACAGACGGATGGAATTCAGACAGTGGAAGTGATTTGGCAAGACAGGTGTCACTTCACGCTGGTGACACCATGTAAACATCTTGGAAACGAAAGCAGCACAAACAAAAATTGTAACGGCAGAAACTGGCACAAATGCAGCACAAATGATTGTGATCGGTTTGGATGAAATCAGACGCAAATGGGAGGTCATCTTCACACAAGTGGTTTGCTCTACAGTGCTGTCCCTGGCCTGACGGGGTACTACATGATTGCCTGGCACTTTGGCACAAGAGGTATGAACATCAAGGATCATATACAGTCCAACACTACTGCTTGGGTGCCGTGGTGTGGCCATGTCCACAGTAAGTATGAACCTGCCGTTACATAGCATAATATAACCATACTCTTACTTTGCATAGCTGTAATAGGAAGCTGTCGTTCAAACTCCAAAAAAAATCTCTCATGATTCAAACATGTTCCATAGATTTAAGTCCTGAATTAGACAAAAGCATCTTTCCTATAGCCAAAAGGAATAGGGTGGAGAAGGAATTCTGAACAAAGACACAGTTCTAAGCCAAGAAATCACTCTGTGTGTAAACACCTTAATTACTGTCATGGTTTAGTGCTGACTGTTGTGGATCTGCCCTCTTAATTTTATATTATTACATATATTATTCATGTATATTATGTATTCAGTAGGTATACGACCAAGTGCCAATAAGATAATGAACTTGAGGAAGTTGAGGCCCTTTAATAGTGATTAAAGGAAATCACACAGGCATTGTGATGAGTTGACCTAATTGTATACATTCTAAAAATCAACATTTAAACAACACCATAAAACCCATGACATCAAACACTGAAAATATTCCTCATAAATATGAATTACCTAAAATACATCCAATCTTTATCAAGTGACTGAAAAATGGAAAAATTGTACATAATTTCCCTGTTCAAATCAAATCCAATTACAATATTAGCTATTTCAAGCACAAACTTTTCACAGCACTCGTTCACTAGGGAGCAATGTAGCAGTGCAGATACATTTTCTGCCAAAACCCTCAAAATATTCTGAAATTAACTGGTTTAATTTGAGACATAATTAACACGCAAACCCTGCATCTTAACATGTATTCACCACTGTCCACCATATGTACATGAAATATACTTTTACAAACACAAAATTTACACAGAACTGTTTCAAAGTTTAGCACTGCATATTTTTCCTTTTAACAAAAGTAATCAGAAAAGCAAAAAACTGCATACAAGACTGACATAACTATCGTCCCGATAATTGAAATGTTTGGTTATGATATCGAAAGACAAAAGTTAATGGGATTTTTCCCATTTTACATGTTAATTTTAAAATAGCCATAGCTTTATCAACAAATCTAATTTGTTCTTATTATGCTTCGAGTTTTCAATTAGGCTTCACTGACAAAGACTGATTACCAGTTAAACGCAAACATACAATATATATCTAAAAAACAATAATCTAAATAATAACAAACTACGGTGCTTGGACTAAAACTGATAAAGACAAAAAGCAGAAAAAACAAAGTCTTACACACGGCAACACATTACTAAATAAACAAGTTCAACTTTTGGGGCAGCTTAGGCCGCCGTCATAAAAGGCTCAGGTTTAGCTAGCCATACTTGATACTACAAATTGCTACCTGGGTATCATCATTAGCTACCTCGTCTCATCTTTACGACAACAAAAAACGTATAAAATATAAAAAAAATAAAAACAATTTCGGCAGAAATTGAATCAAGTCCATATATCGTTATCTGGACCCCTTCTATTATATTTGAAATGTTGAATTACGCAAGACAGATCTAATGTATTGTACTCAAACTACGCTTGTCAACTAGCTGGTCAGACAACTAGATAAAGTGTTGGACTGCCAGTAGATGAAAAACATAATACGGCTTCACTGCTTGCGAAGTTGCGAGTTAGCTGTTCTTATTTTGAAGTAAGACAAACGAAGAAAAGTTGAATAAATGAGTTTACTTTAGCGGGGGGGGGCTAACTGGCTCGGCACACTTGGCAGCCATGGTCTCGTTCATCATGCAGCTTCACTTTAACAGATTCAAACCAAGCGGTCATATTCGTTAAATTTAGTTAGTAACCTAATGAGTTACTTGACACTTCCATCATATTCTAGTTATCTACGTCAGCGATGACCACCTAGCTATATGGAATAGCTAATATAAGACAGCTAGCTTATTAGCTAACACCACTGTTTCGACATTAATAAATATTATTACTTCAGCGCTTACTATCTTCATAGAACAACAACAATACCAAAAAAATAACATGTTGTGGGTCAGATTAATGCTGTATGTGGGTGAAAAGTGGTGTAGTTACGGTGTTTCTGCGAATACGGCCTGATATTTTTTCTCAGCCGACAGGGTAAAGTTAGAGAGCAGCCGAGGGCCGAAGCACTTCCAGCAGCAGAGCGACGCAGGAAACCTGCGCAGAAAGCCCGTATCCCCCTCCCTCCCCCGCCCCAAACACGGCAAATAAACACTCACCGTCTGCTGGAAGATCGAGAAAAAGGGGGCAAAAATATATATATAGGCAGAACGCGCGAACAGAACAATATGCTAAGCGAAAATAAATACTACTTCATTGTCCTTCAGTGAGATGTAAAGGTCATGGTGAGCGAATGGTTCCAGGCGAAACGGACAGCTGTCGATGGGAACTGATCCGCGCTTCCCCGTCGTACGCATCACGAGGTTGGGGCTCGCGCAGTGCTCTATCGAGCCGCCGGCCGACCGACTGCACTGCGCCTACACGGGGGGCGCTACAGAGCATCTCTGTAGTTGCTGCCGTGCGTCTTGAGCTGCCTACCGACGAACTTTACTCCAAAAAGACACCTATTTTACTGAATAATAGAAGAGGATCTTGGTATTTTTCTCTTTGGAAAACACTGCTTAGCAAAGAAGACCGATGAAATAAACTCGTCTAATTTGAGGCATGATTAACAGACACACAAACCCTGCGTTTTAACATGTACTCAGAACTGGCCAGGTGTACTTGAGATTTATTTTTACCAACATAAAATTTACATACAAGAGTTTCACAAAAAGACACCTATCTCTTTGAATAGTAGGACCAGAATTTTGTATGCTGGTGCAGTGGTTAATACTATTGCCTTACACTTCTGAGAATTGGGTCTGCCAGGGTTCCATGTGTCGTTGTGGGGTTTCTTCTGGGTACTTTGGTTTCCCCCAAATTTCCCATGGGTATGCCCTGTGATGGGTTGGCACCCTGTCCTGGGTTGTTCCCCACCTAGTACTTGTAGGCTCTGGACTCCCTGTGACACTGCATGTAGGATAATTGGTTTCAGAAAATGGATGTATTTTGGTATTATTTCCTTTGAAAAAAACTGGTCTCTAGAAAAGGCTCTTATAGTCAGGGTATTTGATTAGTATTTGTGAGTGCTGCATTATTTGCCAATCAATCAAATTTTTTTCTGTTCTGTTAAAAAGTGCATTACACAATTACGTTTGTATATACAGTATATATTGCAGTAAATGATTTAACTATTTTTATATGCAAAACCCAGAAATAAGAATGCTGTAAACAAAAATTAAAATACTATCAAAATGTGGTTCAAAATATGCTATATATAAAGAAAATGATATGTATACTGTCAAGTTTTTTGTTTTTACAAGTGCACCGAGGAAGAACTTAAGTATTATGCCTACATTAACCTGAGATTATACAGATTTGTATAAATCACAAAATCAAATGTTAGTACAATTGAGTGTACCTTTATTTTGTAAAACTAAAAAGACAATTACTTCGGTTACAAAATGCCTGCTGTTTTTGAACATTGTATATGGTATCAAAATGAAATGGAACTCTTTTAGTTTCACTGAGGTCTTTAGCTTTGTCCATCTTCAGTCTTTTAACTGTTCATCCTGATCAGGGTCACGAGTGGACCTGAAACCTTCAGTGATTGATAAAACTAGTAATACATTTTGTTAAATGCTTTAACTACTTGTGATGTTTTGTACTCGTCAGCATACTCGTTACAGAAACATCATATTGATTAAAAAACATGTATGTTTTATTTCTGAACAGGAGCTATATGGAAAGCTACTTCTTAATGTGATAGCATAGTTTTGATTACATGCCAATGTATCAACATGTGAAATGCTTGTGCCCTGTGATGCCTCGCCTTGCTGTGCTAAGCAGTTGGAAGATCCATGGATGACAGCAAATCTACAAAAAAAAAATAATTAAAAAAAAAAATCTACTATAGCTGTGGCATACAGATTTTAACTTTTGAGAACTAAATGAAAGGCAAATAATTTATTAGTGTTCACTGTAAGTAAACAGAAAGCACAAAATGGATAAAATTAGGCTTTATTTTAAAGTATACTTTTAAAAATCTTTAAAATTTTGCTATGGATGTTAATATGTACAATATACAGTGTTCTGTACAAAATACTTCAACATTTAATGTATTTCTCACAGCAATCAAAGCACCAAAACAATCTTCATAAGCAATTAAAACAGGCTATAGCTTTTAAATTTCAAACAGAAGCTGCTGATAGGACACTACTTTTTGCCATCATATTATTTCAGCAGTACCTTGGAGAAAAACCTATACTCATTTAATACTCTTGTGACAATCAACAGAAATCTACTGTTACCACATGCATAACATTCTTAGCAGTATTACTCACTGAAAACAATGGTAAGATTTGATAACAGTTTGTTTAAAAAGTTATTTTACTTGTAACCAGTTAAGAAATTAATAAAATAATATATAAACTAAGTACTAAATCTTGACTGATGGAAAAAATAATATTACAGAATGAGTCAAACTTACATGTTACCTTAAATTTAACTACAGATCAAACCTTCAGTTGGACATTACCCTGGAGTGAAAGTGAACGTCAGTAAGAATTAACAAGGTATTAACGATGCTGTAATGTCAACCTACAATACTGAGTTATGTATATCATAATCATAATGAGCACAATCTATTTGTTATCATACAGTATTCCTTCATATTTCCAGCATCATAAATTCACAGAGCTTTACCATTTTGACCTACTATTTATGGCATCATGGCTGCTTGCTGATGTGAAATACAGTTTGGAAATTAAAAAGATCATTAGCAGGAGCTCAGAAATGGCATGATGCCTAATGTGCAAGCTCTGAAAGGATGGTCAGCGCTGCAGAGATCAACTGGTAATCACTATGCCACAGGGCCAGGGGAGGCCTGCTTGGCACAGGGTTGCTACCAGTCAATGAACAGAAAACAGTGACACAGTTACTGGTAACACCAATTTGAGAGCACATGCAGAATAACAACCTAGCTTTAAGGCTAGCTCTCCATCCTGGCTCCTTATTTTTGTAGAGCACATTAATTTGTGCTTTGCTCCTAATACTGCCAGAGATGTCTGAAGATGTTTCTTTGTTCTTGCATATGGTTTATAACTTATAACCCACTAAACAACATTATTTGAGCTACAGTTCAATAATGCTGCAAATGCTCTGCTGCTAATATTGCAAGGAATAGCATCGCTCTGTGGTCGCTACTGGTTTAGCTTCCCCTAAGATTTATCTACCAACCACATCTCACATCACATTGAAAAAGCTTTATACAGTTCCAGTGAGAGCTCAAACTACTATAAGGCCTAAATTCTAATCTCCTAATCACAGGAATTTGGTCTTTAGCTGGATGGTGGGAGACTTTTTGGAGAGTGCTGGATATACAGCTGCTTTGGCCTTCATGTTCTCCCGGTTGCCTGTGATGGCCGCCCTCAGTCGCGCCTTCATGGATGGGAAGGAGACCATGAGGGCCTTGAACAGTGCAGAGTGCTGGGGGCCAATTCGCATCAGGTCCTGCAAGGCAGATTCATGCAGACTGCGGGCGGCTATAGAGGCAGAGGACAGGGCGTTCTCATCCAGCAGGAAGGAGATGAGGATGTGCAGCAGGATCGGCATCAGCTGGGAACCTACGAAAACAGGAGTCCACATGTACATAACGGAGCACAACACAACTGCCAAGCAGTGCAGCAAAGCATCTTTTTCACTGGAAAACCAATATGATGCACAACCCTGCTAACATAATTGTGTTGAAGTATTAACTGTACAGCCATACTGGGAAGCACTGCTTCATACTCACGGTGCTCCTCCTCGGCAGTGGACACCAGGGTCTCCAGGGCCTGCACCCCAGCCAGCACAGCCTGCACTTCCTCCGTGTTCTGGGGCCTACTTTTCTCAATTGCCTGCAAATGTCCGACTAAAGCTCCTCCCAGCGCTTGGATGAAAGACACAGCCACAACTGCGGCCGGACTCTGGAAGACCGACAGCAGCAGCTGGTAGGTCTGACTCAGGACCTGGGCAGGAAGAGAGGGAACACTGAAGCTCAAGCGCCTCATTCTAACAGCCTGGATGCAAGCTGATAGCGTAACAATTAAGGACTGGTGCTTTTAAATAAACAGACCCAAAGTGTGCAAACTTTGCAGCCAGACCCACTGAACAGTTTTAACTGGGTATACTGTCAAAGAAAATAATTTAAAGGATGAACAACTTCCATTGTCATATGCTTAGCAGCCCCTTATTAGATACACCTAGCTAGTACCTGGCAGGACTCACTTATGCCTCCAGAAATGGTTTGAGGATGGAATGTGTGAGCTGTGTGTTAAAGGAGCAGATTCACAGATTTAGATTCACCCTAAAACTGAAAAGAGATATGTTTTAGAGGGGATTTAGTGCTATCTATTCAGAGAGATTGCTGTTGGATTTTTCAAATGTTCTTTTCTGACGCTTTAATAACCACAGAAAGAATGCCATTCACTTCCATTATATTCAAAAGAAGCCTAACATTCCTACAGCCGATGTCTTCAAAACTAGAAATCTCCCAGCAGAGGAACCTAGATTTCAGTTTTAGGGTGAACTGCCCCTTTAAGAGAAGCCTTTCTGCACACACTGGAGTACTGAGCTGTGAGGTAATGTTTTTCTTTCCCATCAGCTCAAGGTGTTTTAGCCACATTAATGCTATCAGTTAGTTCATCACATTTTTTCTAAACTCTTCGTATTTGAAGTGCATGAAAATCCCAGAAAAATGTCTGCTATAGGTCACGTATGACACCAACTAAAACACCACATACAAAATTGCTTAGATCAGGTGTCTTAGCTATTCTAATGCTTAGCCAAACTGAAAGTGAGCCTCTTGACAATGTTTATGCAATAGGTATTCAGTTCCTGTGACATGATTGGCTGTTTGCATTAGCAAGCAAGTCTACCTACTTAACTTGCCAAAGAGTGCATGTAAGGTGGAGGTTACTGAATGGGAAGCATGGCATGCAGGCGGTTTACCACTGGATCCTTGCACTCCAGACAGCCCTGGAACTTAGATATGGAGCGTGCCAACAGAGGCTGTACAGCAGCGACCTCTGGGCCGGCCAACCGGAGGAAGATGGTGAGGATAGTGAGACGACTGATCTCATTCACACCGTGAAAAACCTCTTCTTTAAAAAGAAAATGAAAGAAAAGAAAAAGGTAGAATGCTTTAAGGCAAGGTTCCTCAGTTGTGGCCCTGGAGAGCCACAATCCAACACAGTTTGCAGATCTCCCTGCTAAAACATAACTACCAAACCTGGTAATTAGCTGATTAAGATGGAAATCTGCAAACTGTGTTGAATTATTAAAATATAATGTATATTAGAAGATAAGTCTTACCACTTTGTAATTACAGTGACTATTAATAGGTTGACAGATTGCATTACACCTTTCATTGACCAAATGCACAAATATCTGACTGATAAAAGGATACAGAAGTTAAGAATCAAGGGCTGTTGCTGGAGATGCTTGATGCAGCAGGTAAAAGTAGGGGAGCCCACTGAGGTATAAATAAGTGAGGTAGCATCAGGGCCAGCTGAAAATTTTTCAGCGTCCACTGCAAGATTTGATTAACCTAGTTGCCATTAGTCATCTTCCTTCCCATCATGACAAGATGATCAGATGAGGGCCCCCCTGGTGGCCTACAGGTTCTAAGTAGCCAGTCAGTTTGCTCATGCCTTTGGCTGGCCCTGAGTTAGGGCTGCTCGATTATAGCAAAAATCATAATCACGATTATTTTGGTTGAGATCACAATTATTTAACATGATTACTCATTTACTTTGGAAATATCATGCATTTATTGAACTTCTAAAAAAACAGCAGATTTCTATGAATTCTAAATAAAATTCAACTAAGAAACAAACAAAAAGGGCTGGAAACGGGTGCGCTGGATTTATTACACCAGAAAAAGCAGAAGCATCATTGCAGCACATTGTTTTGTCTTAATTACTTTGTTTTCTGTTTTAATAATCATTAGAAGCCAAAATCCTAACCGAAATTAAAATCAGCGCTACTCTGAGTGGCTTGAGGTGCTTTAAGAAGGTTCTGGGTACCTGAATCCCAGAAGTCCATCAGTGTGTTAAGAGCACAGCGGAGAAGGTGGGCCCAGGCCCCTTGGCATTTTTCTGCATGAGCCATGGGGGACAACAGCACCACCCGCAGGGCCTGCAGTGTCACAGAGACAGCCAGGCCCAGTGCTGCCCCCGGAGGCTGCAGCAGCAGCTCACGGTGAACTCCCATTAGCAGGTACAGTACGCTGGGCAGGATGGACACGCTGCCTGTGAGACGTAGGGGTGCCCAGGTCAGGTAAATAGAGGTAAACGGAGATCAGCAGACAACCATTGGGAGAATAAAGGAATAACACAGTGTATATTAAGAATAAGAAGTTCTTCATCTTACCCTCAGGAGAGCATATAGATGGAAGCTCTGAAAGGATGGTCAGCGCTGCAGAGATCAACTGGTAATCACTATGCCACAGGGCCAGGGGAGGCCTGCTTGGCACAGGGTTGCTACCAGTCAACTTGGGGCTCAGCCGGGGCAGCTTGCGCACCAGGATGCACAGGCATAGCTGCAGGGCCCCAAACACCACCGACTTTCCTGGCACCAGGCCGCCAGTATCGTGGCCCTCACCAAACTCAGGCAGAGTCTCCTTCTCTGCCGCTCCGTCGTCCACTGAATGCAAACACACAGAGCGAAAGATCAGCACGGTGACAGGCTCCATATAAATTTGAATCAACTGTGAGAGCAAGGACTCTGCTAGACCAGTGTTTCTCAGTCCAGTCCTTGGGGACCCAGAGACAGGTCGGGAGCTGGGAGGGAGCAAGAACATTGATAATTGGGGGGCCCCCGAGGACCAAGTTGGGAAACACTGCCCTAGACTCTTCATATTTCCATTTAAACACTGAGTACATTAACACAACATTTTCATTACATGTATACATATAGCAGTATTTATTTATATTACTCTGCTGGCCACAGGATTCAAACCCACAGCTTTCTGGTTGCAGATCAATAACCTACTGCACTACATGCATTCCACAGGAGAGTCAGTGAGCATCAAGGGCCTAACAGTGATATGATCACTTTGCAGACCAAGGACTTTGAGCCCACAACCTTCCTAACCAACTGAGCTACACACCCAGCCATATTTCCCTAGAAGACCTCAGTGCCAAGCTGACAGGATGACCTTCGTGCTTCCATACTGACCCTCGGCACTATGGCGCTTCTCCCTGACTCTCTCCTGCGCTGCACACACCACCTGTCTCACCAGCTCCAGCACTGCCAACTGCACTCCAGGTGACTCACGTGTCACGATCAGTCTGTGGAGGACACTCAGGAGCTCCACACTCAGAGTCTGCCAGGACATACAGGAAATGCTATTCAACCGAAAAGAAATGCGAAATCAAGCAGAAATGAGCAACAGGAATGCTGATTCACACATAATTTCTACCAAGAACAGTACAGCTTTTATTACATATGCGTTATTTTTTCCCCAAACCAGTTCAGCACAAATCACGCCCCGCAGCCAACTTAAGCACAAACCACACCTGCAACGCTGATGAAGCCTTAAGATTGTATTCACTGGCTAACGACCTGAAACATGGTGACTGGCCACACAACACATGCGGATACAAACTGTAGTGCAAACGTTTAAAGTGTGGTTAGCAGCAGGGTTTGAGATAGATGTGACTTTTTACAATATTGGAAGTGTCTCCTACATAAGAAATTTACAAACGAGAGGAGGCCATGTTGTGTCCCCTTCAATATCAAACACTCCTATGCCGTTGATGATCAAGGTAAACTGACTTCAGAATTGTCACAATTATAATTGGTTCACGGAATAAAACAATGTTGGTTTTATTAGTATTTTTTCTCTGTATGATCTCACATCTTTGAACCAACAACATCCTTGAGAAGAAGACGTTTGCTCTTGGAGTGATGATATAAGCCATTCAGCTTAAGGCTACCTAGTCTGGAGTGATCATAACATAACAAATCCTAAATTAAATAATGGGTTAGCCCCTATGTTTAGTATCTGAGAATATTTGAGCCAAATTAGTATTTGCTGTTAATTAAATTGAGTTATTCTTGGCCAGAGTAACCTTTGTTGGGTGGAATCGCGGCTTTCCCTTGCATCAAAGATGATCAATTCCGCTACAGTTCAGACCAGCGCTCTATTACTGTTAACCAATGAAAAGAATCTTGAGGTTTCACCAAAGCTGCGGGGCATGGTTTGCGCTTTAGTTGGCTGCAGGGTGTGATTTGCGCTGAACTGGAGTCTCACATATCAATCTTTTACAATCCTGCCACTGCCTGTTTTCATTGATTGTTAGCTCTGTAAGTCTGCTTACTCACTCTGATTCATGCAAGGGTGTAGATTTAGGTATGGATGGTAGAGACATGTCCCTACCAATAGTGTGTGAGTACCGTGTGTGTTTAGAGGTGTGGGGGATTCGGGACTGATTTGGTCCTTACCGATTTTGAAAAATAACCTACACCCAAGGATTGAAGGGTGATGTTAATGGCTAATCATGTTCATCCCTGATGTCGACTGAAGAGTATTACACCTATGCATAAATAAAGGCTTTCTCTGCAGTGGATTTTTCATGTGACCTATTTGCCCTACTACTGATGTTGCTTGGCCCAGTTAGTCTGCTGCTCTCAACAAAATACTTGGTGAGTTTTAATTAATAAATGAATTGGCCATCTTATGTCTGCAAATGGTCTGATCCTTACATTCTCACAATACGGAAAATATTAGTGCAAAAAATATACATAATAAAACCCCACTACCAGCCAGTCTGCTGGTCTTTGCAAAAGATTAGATGATTTTTAAATTTAATTTAATTTAATTTAACTATAAAGGGGGGCTGTTGAAACTACAGCATTGTATTCCCTGGACAGCCCCATCACTTGCTCCTCCCATATAATCCCTACTCCCCCCACAGTATTAGACAGATCAAAAGTTTTGGACAGATCAACTGGAAATATGAAAGCCAAAAATGTGCTTTTACCCAAAAGTCCTAAGTGTAACATGTAACTCTGAAACTAGACCTGAAACTAGACCTATTGTTTTATTGTACATTCCACTTATTACATCTTTCCCCATCGATTAGGTGGTTACATGTATTTCTTTGTGTATGTCCATGTATTAAAATTAGGGCTGTCACTATCGATTATAACAATAATCGAATAATCTACCAATTAATCTGACAATTCATCGAGTAATCGTTAATGTTCATTGTCTGTACTTGTGTCTCTGTCTATTTGTGCAAGTGTAACTGAAGCAATTTTCCTCCAGAATCAATAAAGTTTTTCTGATTCTAATTTATAATATAATATAACATGATATAATACATTGCGTTTGGCTCAAGGCAGGAAGCAACCAACCATTGCCAGGTCACACAACATGGTCAATTTAAGGCATTTAAGTTGCATATTTCTGGACAGTGGAAACCAGAGACCTCCACAATGTCACACCCACACAGGATGAACATGCAAGCTGTGTCCGAATTCAGGGGCTATAATGGTGTTTAATTAGTCTCAAAACACACGCACATAAAAATTTCGCTTGTGTATGTGCTCGTGAGCAAAAAAGCCATCCTCACTACATGCTCGCGTCTGCAGTACAGTAGATTGAATTTTGAGACTTTGAAGCTGGGGACAGTGGCTGATTTCTCCACTGCGGTGATTGGTAATTTTGAATCCCATGATTGACTGTTTGATTTGGAAGAAGATGAAGATGATGATCAAAGACCAGTCGAACAACCAGGCTCATGCTCTGGTCATTATGTCGGAGCAAGGAAGTCTTACATCTTTCAGAGATCCTATTTTAATATTGCACATTCAAGGTGGTAATTGGACTCATACATATACACTCACCTAAAGGATTATTAGGAACACCATACTAATACGGTGTTTGACCCCCTTTCGCCTTCAGAACTGCCTTAATTCTACGT